TGCAATATAAAAGATCTTTGGATTGGTTATAATAATCACAGAGTCTCCTCTGTTTTTCCTTATTTTTCGGATCAGTGATATGGTTGATGGGTTGGTTTATTTATTTATTTTTGGGGTTTGGTTTTTGTTTTGCTTGGGTATAGGAAGAATTTGTTAAGTAAAGAGAATAACATAGCAGTGAAATAGAGCTAAGTTTTGTTTTGCTTGTGTTGTTTATTCTATGGTTTCATATGTTGAGGAACAGATTCTTCCAGCTCCTCCTTCTGTTGACCTTATTATCACTGCATCTATCAGGTCGGAGGGTATGACCATCCATATCTAGTAGGTTGTTGCTCCAAGCTAGATTGCATAGATACAGGTTGTTGTAATTATAATGTTTGGAGCCTTGGTTATTTCACTTTATCCTGACATTGATCCTCATTCCTTGATCTTATTTTAGTTTAAAACCAGAGTTTTAATTGTATTAACAAAAATTGTAACACAGTATCATGCAATACAGGTTGAAACTGGAGATGCAGTTCTTGTTCACGCTGCAGCTGGTTGGATTGGATCTTTAATATGGCAGTGGGGCAAATGCCCTTGGTGCCACTGTAATCGGAACTTTCTCACCCAAAGAGAATGTAAGTTTAGCAAAGGAAAAATGGATGTCACCGTGTCATAATTTGTACGGAAGAGATTTTGTTGCCCGTCTGAATGAGATAACATCAGGCCAGGGGTTTATTATTATTATCTTTTTTAAGCCAACGAGCCAATTCGATTTTTTTAAACCACGTGGTCATTAAAAGCTGAAGCTCAATCTGTGGGTAATAATCTGGAGCAAAAAATTTTGAGTCCAACAGTAGTGTTCAATTCAATTTTGATTTTGATTTGGTTGTGTTTGATGTGAATAGTAAAATAGTTAGTCAATTCGATTTTGAATTTATAAAATTAAAATTAAAATTATCCGAGAATAGTATTTTTATTATATTTGTATTATTATTTTTAAAATTTTAATAAAATAAAAAAGATTTCATTTATAAAATTATGTCAATACCTTTAAAGTAATTTAGAATATAAAATATTTAAAATTTAAACAATTGAGAAGTGAATTAATTTGAATTGTTAATCTTTGGTTTATATCAATTTGATAATTTTTTCAAAAAAATTATTTTTTTACATTTTATTAACAAATTAATAAATTAAAAGTGTCAACAATAATGTGATTTGTTGATAAAATATTAAAATTTTAATTTTAATGATCATGGTTCAATCGTTGGTAATTTCAAGTATAAAAAATAATGGATTTAAAGTTAATTAAATGCATTAATTTATGCACTAATTTATTGTAATACAAGGATGAGAAAAGGTTAATTAAAAATCAACCAACTATAATTTTATTAAACTAAATAACAAATTAAAGAAAAAAATAGGCTACAAAATTTTTTTTTCTAAAAGGAAATTAAAACCTTGAAGAGGAGGAAGAGGTGACCTATAGTGATTGTGGAGAATCCTTAGTCATATAATGCAGCTTGAGTACCACACTTGCTAAGGAAAAAAAATGGTTGCATAAAAACATGTTCCACACTCGATGTACTGCCTATGGGAAGGTATGTGATGTTATAATTGATAGTGAAAGTTTTGAAAACATTGTTTCTACCTTTATGGTGCAAAAATTAGGCCTCAAAGCAATGGATCACCCCAACCATATAAGCTGTCTTGGCTGCAAAAAAAAATGAAATTAAGGTTAGCAAAAGGTGTTTAGTTCTTTTTTCTATAGGTAAACAATACAAGGATGAAGTATGATGTGATGTAGCTTCGAATGAATGCTTGCCATTTACTGCTCGAAAGACCTTAGCATTATGATAAGAGGGTTATTTATGATGGTTACCACAATACTTACACATTTGTGAAAGGATGGATGCAAAATCATCCTAGGTCTTACCAAGCCTATGGTGATGTCAAAACCAACTAAAAGGGAAAGAAGCAGGTTGTTTACTAAGGCCAATTATAGAAAAAAAATTAAGATAGGCGGTACTATATATGCATTAGTGTTGATTGAGAAGAATAAAGATAGTGAAGAGCCCCCTGCAATGATACAACCATTATTGGCAAAATTTCAAAAAGCTATTCAAGAGGAGTTACCAACTGGTTTACCACCAATGAAGGACATTCAATATTGCATAGACCTTATCCCAAGAGCCATTATACTCACTGGTTATGGCCCTTTTGAAATTGTTCTTGGTAAGAATGCAATCTATCTTTTGGATTTAATTCAATTTTATACTAACCAGCATTTTGATAGAGATATAGAAAAAAGAGCCAAGAGTATCAAAATATTTCATTAACAGGTTCAGAATAGAATTTTGCAAAAAAATAAGAAATATAAAAATGCAATAGTCATGCATCAAAGACATGTGAAGTTCAAAGAATGTGATTTGGTGTTGATTAACTTACGAAGAGAGAGATTTCCTCTTGGGAAGTTTGGCAAATTACAACCTAAGGCAAATGGTCCGTTTAGAGTTCTCCAATGCATTGGGAAGAATGCCTATAAGGTAAAACTTCCTGACACTTATGAAGTATCTTCCATCTTCAATATTGTTGATTTGTCATCTTACTATGGACAGAATACTAATTCAGACTTGAGGACAAGTCTTTTCCAACCAGAGGAGATTGACATTGGACACATTATACAACTTGGGTCGAAACTAAGGCAAATTTATCCAAAAATAAGATGGGCCTATCCTTGGTCCAAATCCATACATAAATAAGATGGGCTAGAATAGGGAGATTACGTTCACACTAACTAAGAAAGAAGATCATGAATATGAATGGGATTATGGTCAGGTTCCGGAGTAAATGGACAGATTATGTTCACATGCAAATCTCATGATTTTAGACATGATTCTAGCAATGTAATCTAAAAGTTTCAATGCTTGCAGGGATGTTTCTAGCCTATATATTTTCTATTATTCTTTGGTAAAAGGTAGAATAGAGTTTTCTTTGTCCTTAAGCAATCTTTTAGATTGTTCTTCAAGTTCTATATCTCTTAAGTGGATTTCCTAGAATGGTAAACTTTTATTGTTTTATGTCTTTGATTAGAATTCTTAGAGTGATGTTTCTGTATCCTCTAGTTTTTAGTCTTGGTGGTGAACTTTTATCCCTTTTAATCCAATAATCATATTCTGTCATTATTCAAAATCTTATAAGTTGTCTTTTTTGCAAGTTTTTTCTATTTGCAATTAATCTCCACATCTCAAACATCAATTCCCGACATCACACGTTTCCTCGTCCATCTCTTTCTCATGCAGATTTTTAGTTAGGAGGCTTCTCATGGATCTTTCAACAAGTGTCTTTGGTGTGTCCCAGCTTCTAGCAATGCTCACAGAAAGGGTTCTTTTTGAACTCGTTATCACCCCCTTGGTTGGCTCAATGTCTTTCAGCCACGAGTGTAGAGTTTCCTAAAGTGTTTGGAGAGTTTTGTATTCCTAGCATCACCTTTTGGTGACTTCCTCACGCCGTACCTCTGAAGAAGAAGAGTTCTCACTTCTGTTGGCCATGACAGAAACTCGTGTGGCTATAGTTTAATGGTTCAGGCCGACTTGCTCTGCTACTATGTGGAAAACTTAGAGAACAATTGTCCTTTTCTCATATTGTTTTTCTAGAATAAAGTAGTACATAAAAATAAATAAGAACAGTGATGTTCCTTATTAGTAACAACTAACATGAAACCAAAAATAAAAATAACAAAAGGAAGGAGAATTATTCTATTCTAAAGTAGAAACAAATCCCTAAAAACTTGACAATCAGAATAGTTGATTAAATCAGAAGAATAAATGAGAAATATTCCCAAAATAAAGTAGGAAACCAAGCTGCACTAGTGTAGGAGAATCGGATTTCTACAGAAACATTAGCTGTCCATTTTTTGTTCTACATATTCAATGTTCTCTATTTAAATCATGCTGGTATTCTGATATATGAAACTTATGGACTTCTACCTTTTTCTTCTCTCTCTCTATCTCTCTCTAATGTGTCTAACAGAAAAAAAAAAAAAAAAAAGACTTGTTCAGGACATACACATCTTGCAGAGAAGCTAAAAGTACCACTTCATGTATTCTTCACTATGCCATGGACGTAAGTCTTGGTTGATTGTGATTATTTTGATGCTACAAGTCTTTCTAAATAAACAGGTTTTGAATTGTTCATACACCATTGATTCTGGTATTACTTGTCTTGTATGAAGATAATCAACTTTGGTGTTGTGTTTATGTAACAATTCAATCATTCCCTGGATTGATGTATATTTGTGTATGTGTGTGTGTAGATATTGAGAATGATTAACTGAGTCAATTCTTTCAGGCCTACTAGTGAATTTCCCCATCCTTTGTCCCGTGTTAAACAACAAGTTGGTTACAGAGTGAGTCTGCCTTTCACTCCTTCAGTGTGGGGTTTTTTTTATATTTAGATCAACTCATATACTGGTAATCTCTACTGCAGCTTTCATATTATATTGTCGATGCCCTAATATGGCTGGGAATACGGGACATGATAAATGAGCTCAGGAAGAAAAAGCTGAAGCTGAGACCTGTCACATATTTGAGAGGATCCTATTGCTCTCCTCCAGATGTGCCTTACGGGTATTTATGGAGCCCTCACCTTGCGCCCAAACCAAAAGGTCATTTTATTTATTGACCCCTTAGGATGATAAATTTGCTTGCCTTGATTTTATTAGGCAACGTCTCTTTCATCATGACAATTACTTGTTGGATTGATGATTGAGAGATGTGATGCCATATTACCAATTTCAAGTCTTTTTGCTTTTTCTTTGTTTTTTCTTCTATTTTCACTTAGTTGTTAAATTTAAAAATAAAGATTCTTGGGGAATTATTTCTGAACTATATAGAAACTTTTACAGTGGTTGTGTATATTAGAGTTGTTTTATGGAATCAAATATCTCTGCATATTCTTGCAATACATAGCTTTCCTGTGTTGTATATTTACTTAGTTTTTTCCTACAATTGACTAACAACACAAACTTTACATCCTACTGAACACTGTAAAATTTAGTCAAACATTGATTGGCTTTTTGTTTGAGTCTACCAACTGAGTCCTAATTTGTCAGTGCTTGGGAAACTTAATTTCATTTTGGTGGTTCTTTTTAGCTCAGATTACCTATGTAGTTTGTTCTGAATCATTTCTCTTTAATTTTGCTTTCAATAATATGAAGTATCCTAGAACATTTTGTTCTCCTGTTCTAAACGGTTGGGAGATGAGACTTTTTTTCCCTTCCCCTACTTTATTCTTGTTCGTAGTTGACTAGCACTTTTTGATCTTCTGTTCTGGCCTCTTAAAAGTATCATACATCTCTCTCTCCTTTTTTTTTTTTTTTGGTGGAAAAACAGCGGAAGAATATGGCCACTGAGTTTCCCCATCTTCCGCTCCCTTTTCTGCGAGGACTTGTCTTCCTGTCAGTTTGTCTGCTTCTATCCCTTAGCTGGTATTTGTGTCCTTTCTCTTTCTATTTGTCTTGCATGTGGTTTATTAAAGTTTGTTTTTATCATTTCCTCTTTCAGTAAATAATATTTATTTTCTTTCTTTCTTTGTTGACGTCTTGGCTTCATTAGTTGCTGAAGACTTCAAGTTACTCATTGATGCTGGATGGAAAGGAGTTTCTTGATGAAGTGCACAACTTAAGACTTTATTTTGTTGATTTTTTGTTAATATTTGTAGGAGTTGTTGTATAAAGTAAGGATTTTTTGGTTATCTTGCTTATTTATATAAATTATTATTGTTTATTTCCCAAGTACTACCGAGTTAAGGTTTTTGTTATAATTATGTTGTTTGAAGTTTCAGTAGGTTCTGCAATATATATATTTTTTTGTTACGTGTAATATTGAGCTACACAATGATAGGTAGCCTCTCCCATCCCTTAAATCCCACCCTTCCCATCCCAGAATTGAGACCAGTGACCTTCAAGTTGGAGTCTCAAGCTCTGGCCGCTGGGGTGTCCCATTGGAGACATGGGGTGTGATTCATTAAGATTTTATAAAATTGAGTTTAAGAGTTCCCTCTCTATTGATTCTTGCTGGTTCTCTCCATCAATCTTCTATTTCTCTCCTATTTTCCTCTGGTTCTTCCCTACTGCTCCTTGATTTCCCTCTGATTTGTATTTTTTCCGTCTTTTGTTCTACCTCTCTGTCCATATTTTCCTTTTGCTTTATCTTGTTCTAAAAATGACCACTCTAGCCTTTTATATCCCATTGAATAAGCAGAAGGAAGAATATTGTAGTCCTGTACTTGGTGGACTTATTATCTGGACTATCTTGGCCATTTTGCTTTATCCTATTGTGGTTTTTCTACCATAACTATCTGTAGACGTTTTGGACTCTGACTTTTAATTCAAGATCTTTTTACTCGATGCTATTTTCTGTATATTTTATAATAGATATCATTTCCATACCTGAGGACTGAGTTATTTTATGATACTATTAAGAGTGTTGATATCCTGGACTTTTTCTAAATTTTTCCTTTCCATTTGTACATTTTGCTAGCAACAAATGTCCAAGACAAAAATGTCATGCATATTGGTGTTGGTGTTGGCATTTGAAGGATGTATGTCTGATATGATATAGTTTTCTCCTGCAGACTGGGGACCAAAGATTGATGTAGTTGGCTTTTGTTTCCTTGACCTTGCATCCAGTTATGAACCACCAGAGTCACTTGTAAAATGGCTAGAAGATGGTGAAAAGCCTATCTATATTGGTTTCGGTAGTCTTGTCAGTTTCCTTCTACAAGTCCTTTCCATCTTTTGAATATTTAGCATAATGAAAGATTGTAATGGTTTATTCTTCTTGCACAAATTTGATATTCTTTATATTAAACTGTCTCTAAGGTCGTGTTTGTGAACTTGAATTTTAAATTTAGTATAAATATGTAGTAAAAATGACCTGCATGATTATTTTTTAAATTCATGGATTTATTATATCTCTTTTGATTGGTAAACTCCATAACACCTATAATTTTAAATTCATCTTCTTGTACCTTTTCTCCTTTTTTGGTACAAAGGGAGGCAAAAGCCTAGAAGGAAATTGGGGAAGGACAAATTTGCAAGTGCTAGGTGTTGAACCCCAATTCTGTAGGAATCCACTTCCTAAGAGAGGTGGGTGGACCATTTGGACCAGACCCCAGGTTTCATACCTTTCTAGTGCGTAGGTGTATTGAATCTCAACTCATTTTTACGTAGTGTGTGCATTTCATCCTAACAAGTTTTATAAGTTATAACAAACAAAACCCAAATCCAATCTCCCCAAATTCATGTTTCCAAACATAGCATAAAGTAGTTTTCACAAGTATATGTTCTTTCTCTTTTCCATTTCCTTATGATTTAATTGATTATTTTTATTTTTCGAATTATTTATATGCTATTAACTTTACTTTTCAAAGTAATTAAGTGCATTTAAACCTCTTTATCTTATTTCAGTGTAAAAAAGATTTATACCGGCTTCATTAAGCCACTCATTCTTTTCTTTATCACGTTTAATTGATCTTGACTTAAATTGCTCTAACCAAGGATTTAAATAGTGGTTTAAAAGTGGAATAGCGGCTGCGAAATAGCGGTAGCGTCACCACCCGCCACTGCTATAGGATAAAACACGGTTGTAAAATTCATTCACGACAAAAACGGAGTGTAACAACCGCAAATAACGGCTTAACGAAGAATAGCGACAATAACGAACACCGTAAATAACGGCTTAACAGAGAATAGCGGCAATAACGGACCGTTATTGCCGCTATTCCGTTTTCCTACACAGATCTAATAGTTCGAGAAAAAAGCAAAATTTCAAGTTTCAACCATTCAACATTTCGGCACTCAAATTTAAATCAGCATCAAGTTTTCAATCAACATTCAAGATCAAATAAGATAAGAAAAGAAAGTTAAATTACTTTTTTTTTGTAAATTTTTTATAAAATGATTTGTTGTGAGAGTTTGAGACTTGAGAGAGATGAACGAGATATACTAGGTAAGTGATAATGATGAAAAAATACGAGAGAAAATTAGAGATGAAAAAAAAAAGAAAAAATTTCTGAAAAACAAAACTTTGGATGCGCGAAAAAGATGAACAGAAGCTGGTTCTAGATGATTCTGCCGTCCTGCTACAACATTTGAGGGGCATTAAGGCAAGCACATGAGGAGGGATTGGGTGGGATGGGGAGGGATTGGGTGGGGTGGAGTGGGGTGTAGGGGGTGGGGAAGGGATTGGGTGGGGAGGGATTGGGTGTGGTAGGGTGTTGGGGGGTAAGAGTTGAATTTTTTATTTAATTTTGTAATTAATTTTTGAAAATTTTTTTAGATAAAATTTAATTAGAGGTTTTAAAATTTTATAATTAAAAAAATAAGAGATTAATAATTTAATATAATATATATAGAGATTTTAGATGAAAAATTTTGATAAATTTTTTTGTATAAGTTAGATGAAAAACAATTAAAATTAATATTATATTTTGATTGTGTTATATATTAATTTATAATTTTGTATCTGAATTTTAATATTTTTTTTTTGTTGTTTTGATATTTTATTGTTGTCAATTTTTTTGATATTAGATTAATTCTTGTTATTTTTGTATAATTATTGAAGATTGTATTTATTATATAATTATTGAAAGTTATTTGTGACAAAAAAATTTATATCAATTAGTGTATCAAAAAGATTAAGTTATTTAATAAATTTAGCATTTTATGATCTATTACTCTTACTAAGATTAAAAACTAAAAAATAAAAAATATAGGTTTCAAAATTTTATTAAAATATAAGTTTGAAAATTTTTAATTTTTGAAATTTTTTTAGATAAAATCTAATTAGAGAGATTGAAGGTTTATAATTAAAAAAATTAAGGGATTAATAATTTAATATAATATATATAGAGATTTTAGATGAAAATTTTTGATAAATTTTTTTGTATAAGTTAGACAAAAATTAATTAAAATTAAATATTATATTTTGATTGTGTTATATATTTAATTTATAATTTTTATATGAAATTTAATAATTTTTTTGTGAATAAACCAAATATGAATGCTTTTTATAATCTAAATAAAATTATGAATAATTTTTTTAAAAAATAAAAAATATAGTTCATAAACTATTTTTAAAATCATTGAATAAGAGCTTTTATAATTATAATTATAATTATTACATTTTATATAAATTGTGCAAAAAAAAAATTTCACGACCGCGATGACCGCAGTGACCGTAATGATTTTCGTTATATCCGAAAACACGATAAACACGACACGACTGAAAACGTGACGGTGACCGCTATTTAAATCCCTGTAGACTAACTGCTTTTAACTTCTAGCAGCCTGTTCAGGAACCTGAAAGGATGACCCAGAAAATAGTACAAGCTCTAGAGAAAACTGGACAAGGAGGCATCATAAACAAAGGCTGGGGTGGTCTTGGCAATTGTAATTTCACTTGCTCTTTTCTCATATTCATTGGTTGGATGTTTGGTTTTGTTCAGTGTGTGGAAGTGGATCTGCTCAATTATCTTTTGTCCAGTGGCAGAGCCAAAGGACTTTGTGTACTTACTGGACAACTGCCCTCATGACTGGCTATTTTTACGATGTGTGGCTGTGGTAAGTTGTAAATGTAAAACTTTGAGCTCCAAGGGCTGTTGAAATGATTTGCTGTTCTTATTTTATATTTGATGCCATTCTCATGCAAGTGTCCAGATATTTTTGCGCAATGAGCTTGGTGAATCATGATTTGTAAATTTTATATGTAGGGATAGTGTGTTATATACCACAAACAATTGCTCCATTTTAGGACCTGCAAACTAGTGGATTGGTCAGCTTCTTGGCCTGGAAGTGTTTGTTTTTTTAATGCTTTTGCATAAAGTTGTTGTTGTCTGCAATTTCTTCGTATTCTAAGTCATGGCAATAATAGGGCTTATAGTTGCATTTGAAGCATTTTATAAGGAGAAAGGCCATCATTCAAGTATGTTACATTTTGCTTAGTCACTAGTTGAATGCATCATTATCATGCCTTTTAATGTAAGATCGGCCTAGTAGTTGTTACCTTCCTTAGGAGGATTTAGGTCCAAGGTTCGGACCTCCCCCTTGTGCCTCCAATATGTACCAAAAAAATTATCCTGAAGTTGAATTATTGAAGGGTTACTCTTTTTTAACAAACCATAGTTGGTTTAGGGCTAAAAAGGAAAAAACTTATAACCTATAACCGAAAAGGAGATATATCTTCAAAATGTCCAGAAAGGATGTTGAATGCTTATGCCTTGGAAAGGGAAAGCTCTCCCATACCCATTAAATGATATTTTAGTTTTGGGATCAGTTATTGGAACTTCCAATTTCAGTTTGTGTACCTTAATCTAAATTTTAGGTTTGTTCATTGGAATATTGTGAAACTGATTCGTAACGGGTAGGAGTGTCTCCCAGTTTTCTTTCAATACTATGCATGTTGGTTTCTGCCCCTTCTAGTTGTTCCTAAATGGATTGCCTGATGTCTTTACCTCAGTAACACTGTTTACTGTTTTGGTTGCCAGCTGCTAGCCGAGACTGGCTGAGCTGGTATCAACTCTGTTGGGATTTGCCTTGAATCTCAGAATCCCACATCGAAAGTTAAGTAAGTTTGAATTTGTCTTGTATCCCACATCGAGAGTTTAGTAAAGGTATAAAGGGTTTCACCCTTATAAATAAGATGTTTTGATTTTAGTTTAGTAACCCCAGAGAGTTAGACACCAAGAGAATAGCTAAGTGAGTAGGCTATTAAAGGGTGTAATTGGGTTTTGGGTTAAGTTTTGAGTAAGGAGTTTTAGGAGACTTTTCTCATTCTAAAAGTCTCACAATTGTAAAGATTTATTTGATAGTGGATTAGATTTGGAGTAGGCCATTTTGAGTTGGGCTGAACCAAATATATTTGTGTTTTCTTATTATTGATTTGAGCTTGTTATTTTGTGTGTGAATGCTGCGCATGGGTATTGTTGTTTTTCCCAACAAACTCAGTGTCTCAAAATATCAAACCTGATTTGGACTATTGCCTACTTTCAATTTTCCTATTCATTCTCCCACTTTCCTCAAATAACATTACATTTTTGCTTCTTCCTACCTTTTTTTTTATTTTATGTCTGCAGATTAAACTTTGTCATTGCTTTATTTTCTTAAATTTTTAATACTTATTTTAACTTACAAAATTTGCTTTATTTATCTTTATCCATGTTCTTTGTCTACAATGGGCTAGTATCAGAAAAAATGCATTGATGAGATGTGGCTTCTTAAATGAAACAGTTATGTCATTACTTTTTACCATTAAATGTTTTGAAGAAATTATATAAATGAGGGCCGGAACAATAAAGCCTTATTTTGTCTGTATAGATATATTTATTTGTTGATTTGACCATTATATGTAATTGGAAATGTGATGTTATGTGTAACTTGTTTTCTTGCATAAAAGCATATAAATGGCTTTCCATATTGTTGCAAGGTATTGATTCTTATATAAATTATGTGCTGAGTTGATGCATTTTCTGCTTTGCTTTTTTGATCATTTTGTGAAATACAAACTGAAGTGTACAAATATATCTCATTTAGAGTATTTGAACATAAAGCCTTCTTTCTTTTTTTTTTGGCTTTGGGGGAAGGGGAGGTTGTTCAAGTTGAAAGGATTTTAAGTTTTGCATTCTTTGTTATGGCTCATCCAAAATTTAGGTATTAATATGTTATGGATGCTAAATAACTAATTGAAACACCTTATGGTTCCCTTGATATGTTTTGATTGTTTCCTTGGATGTTTTCCCCAGGTTCATCATGGTGGAGCTGGAACTATTGCTGCAGGTCTCAGAGCTGCGGTAACCTGCCATCTCCAAGAGTATATCCATTTGATTATTTTGCCACTTTTAAAAGTCATTTTTACTCTTGAATACAGTGTCCAACAACTATTGTACCTTTCTTCGGAGACCAGCTTTTCTGGGGAGAGCGAGTGCATGCCAGAGGAGTAGGTCCTGCACCCATTCCTGTTGACAAGTTCTCATTGGACAGCCTGGTTGATGCCATTTACTTTATGCTGGATCCTGAGGTAAGATGAATTTCCTCTAGAATTAACTTTGAGATAGTTTCAAAAAAAAAAAAAAAAAGAGAACACCCTTAGAGATCTGCATTAGTTCTTATTATTACTACGAAATTACCATTTTATTAATCTGATTTTTTATAATTGTTGTTATTCAAATTTCAATCCTGATTTCTCAAACAAACAGTTCGACACTGTTATTTTATTAATTGGTTTTGATTAAGTCATAAGCTTTATATTTAACTTATAACCTTTTTAGGCATAGTTAAACTGCAAAAGAACAACAGCCATCTCTTAAAGGTTGAATACAGTGTTCTGATCTTTTTGAATGTTTTACGATAATTTTCATATTTTACATGTCACAAATATACAAATTATCGCGTCTAAATGTTATGACTTCTTTGAATGTTGTGCTGTAGATGTTGAAAAGAAATTGGTTTCGTGCAGGTGAAAAGCGTGCTGTTAAGTTAGCGAAGGACATGGAAGGTGAGGATGGAGTAGCAGGTGCAGTAAATGCCTTCTATAAACATTTTCCTGGCAAAAAACCTAAGGACGAACCCGTTCCAGCCCCAGCTCCTTCAGGATTATTTTCAATAAGACGCTGGTTTGGTCACGCTCGCACATAATTTTCAAGCTTCATCTTTTAAGTTTAACTCAGCGTTGTAATTGACCGAAGCTACTAATGATAGTTATCTCCTTCAGTTGGGCCAAAAAGGGGGAAAAAGGCGCAAGAAAAGAAAAGTGCTGTCTTATTAAATTGGTTCCTCTATGAAACAACGTGCTCCTCTTTTAGCTATTTGCATATGTCCAAAATGGAGCTTGGACATAGCAGTTTTAACTTCAATCTATGGTAGTCCCTTTCTTTTTATTGCAGAATTGGAAACGGGTTTTACAGTGGGTATGAAAACCTAAAAGTTTTGGCTGATTAATCTTGATTTTCCGTGTTTTGATCCAAATATCTGGATGGGTTTGATCGATCTGATCTTGGAAAATATTTTCAATGCAATTTATTGGATTAAAAATGGAAAATATTTTAAAATGCAATTTATTGGATATCATATTAAATTTAAGTTAAGATGCTGATTTTAATTTAATTAAGATTTTAATTATTCATGAAATTTTATTGACGTAAATGTTATTTATTTTTTAAAGTTAGGAAGAAAATGGTTTTATACTCAACTCTTTTAGATTATAAGTGAACTTACAATTGAATCAAATGTTTGCATTCAAATTTAATCATAATTATATATTTATAATAATGTAGAAAACATTAATGCCATTTTCATCTCATTATCAGCCAAACTGCTAAGCAAGTCCACACGGTTTCCATTCACATGCCTTTCATTTTAAATAAAATAAAAAACTAATATTTGTTAACAAGTTGTCATTTTTCATATTCTTTTGCCAATTATACTAGTGCATGTGATTCTTTGATTGAAAATGACGTTACTTGTTGCCTTTTTTTTAATTGAAAATGAAGTTATTTATTAGAAACAAGACTTAGACTTTCACTAAAGAGATATAGTTTAAGATTTTATAGTAAAAATTTGGAGTTTGAATTTTTAAATTATATAAAGTAGGAATTATGTGACAATGTAGCCCAATATCTCAATTAATAAATAGATAGATTCGTTTATTTATTTATTTTTTATTTTGTTGTTCTGATACTTTTCAACCTCGTTGCTGTAGTTGTCAATTACATATTCTCTCAAATTAAACGTCCTATAGGTTACATATTCCTCCATAAGAGAAGGGTTGAGGATTTCTAGAAAAAAGTGGTGATGTTGACAGAGAGATGGGAGAGAGTGCAGAATCTCGTTGATGTTGCTGAAAGGAACATGGAGATAATAGAAAAGGATGTCCAAAATTGGCTGATTAGAGTGGACAGGATGATCAGTGAAAAGTGAATGAAGTGAAGGAAGTGAAGGATCTTGAAGAGAAAATGAAGAACAAGTGTTGCATTGGGTTGTGTCCCAATATCAAGTCTCTTTACCAGCTTAGCAAGAAAGCAGGAGAAGATGCCAAAGCTGTTGATAACCTCCTCCAACAAGGTGAATTTAACAGGGTATTGTGCCCTGCTGCTCTCCCAGACATAGTGGCCGCCTCTGCCAAAGATTTTGAGGACTTTGATTCAAGAAAAAAAAGTTTTTGATGAGATCATGGAGGCTTTGAAAGATGCCAGTATCAGCGTGTTAAGGGTGTACGGGATGGGTGGTGTTGGCAAGACCACACTAGTCAAAGAAGTCGCAAGACAAGTCAAGGAGGATAGGTTATTTGATTCAGTGGTTATGGCAGCTGTAACTCAGACTCCTGACATTCAGAAAATTCAAAACCAAATTGCTGACATATTGGGTTTGAAGTTTATGAGCTGAGTATAACCGGAAGAGCACGTCGGTTGTGTGAAAGGTTGAAGAAAGAGAAGACGATTCTTGTTGTTTTAGATGATATTTGGGCGAGACTATATCTAGAGGAAGTCGGAATTCCACTTCGAGATCAACAAAAAGGGATGCAAGATACTACTGACGTCAAGAGATCAAGATGTTCTATCCAATGGGATGGATGCTAAGAAAACTTTTGTAATCGGTGTTTTGGAAGAAAGTGAAGCTTGGGACCCTTTTAAAAAGATGGCTGGGGACAGTGTAGAGAGTCTTGAGTTGCGATCTACAGAAGCTAAAGTAGCAAAAAATTGTGGTGGATCACCGGTTGCCATTACAACAGTTGCAAGGTCTTTAAGAAACAAAGGTTTATTTGCATGGAATGATGCTATGAGGAAACTACAAAGACCTTCCCAACAAACTTCACAGCGATACCAGCTCATGTATATTCAGCTATAGAGTTGAGTTACAATAATTTAGAAAGTGAAGAACTCAAACTGACTTTCTTGCTTTGCAGTCTACTCGGTCACCATGTTGCCAGTCAAGACTTGTTGAAATTTGAAGAAATCTCTAGAATAAAACTATTTTATTCATCTATATTTTTCTTATTACAATACTAAAATTGCATGAAAATATATATGCCAAAAAATGAATATTCTCAGCCTTAAAAACTAAGATTTTCATGCATTAAAACAGCTAATCAAAAGAGTAATTTACTCTCCGCACATAATAGGAAATTATCTAATAGAATTGGTGTAATTAACCAAATCACTTCTTATTTTAAAAATAAGAGATTTAACTAAAATAAATAAAGTTAACTAATCAAGTAATAATGAAGAATAAATTTTCACACTCTCCCTGAGCTGGGCGCTAGATGTCAATCATGCCCAGCTTGGATTTTAGATTCTTGAAGTTGTTTAGAGAGAGAGCCTTGGTGAGTATGTCTGCAATTTGGAAGCATGCGAGAGTATAAACTAATGTAACAATTCCTTCCTCTATCTTCTCTTTGATGAAATGATGATCAATTTCCACATGTTTAGTCTTATCATGATGAACATAATTCTTTGCTATATTTATAGCAACTTTGTTGTCGCAGAATATCTTCATGGAATCTTCTGCAAAGACCTTTAACTCCCCTAACAACATTTTTAGTCAAATTCTCTCATTATGCCATGAGACATAGCTCTAAACTTAGCTTCTACACTATTTCTAGCCACCACATATTACTTTTTGCTTTGCCAAGTAATCAAATTTTTCCACACATAGGTATAATAACCAGTAGTAGATCTTCGATCAATAACGGATCTAGCCCAATCAACATCAATATAAATTTCAACATTTCGGTGTGATGTTTTCTTAAAAAATAATCATTTGCTAGGACTTTTCTTTAGGTACTATAAGATTTGATGCACAACCCTTAAATGTTCCTCAGTTGGATTGTTCGTGAATTTGTTTACCATGCTAACTAAAAAATTGATATTGGATCTTGTACGAGAAAGGTAGATGAGTTTCCCAACAAGTCTTTGATATTTACCCTTATATGTTGGTGCATTTCTTTCTTTTATTCCTACCTTATTTATTGTATCTATAAGGGTATCAACAGGTTTGCATCCAAGCATTTTAGTTTCCTTTAGTAAGTCTAGGATATACTTACATTGTGAAACAAAGATTCATTCCTTGAGCAAGCTACTTTTATATCCAGAAAATATTTGAAGTGCCCCAAATCTTTTATTTCAAATTCTTTGGCTATGAGGTTCTTTAGATTGCTAATTCTTTCACATAGTCTCTAGTAAGAATAATGTCATCCATATAGACAATAAGAATGGCTATTTTTCCCTTAGATGAATGTTTAACAAACATTGTGTGATCGATCTGGCATTGTACAAAGTCGTACCTCTTTATCACTTTTGTTAATCTATCAAACCATGCACGTGGGGATTGTTTGAGACTATATAAAGACTTTTGAAGCTTACATATCTTGCCAGAATTGTTCTAATTTTTTATTCCTAGAGAGATTTTCATGTAAACTTCTTCTTCTAGATCACCATTAAGAAATGCATTTTTGATATCTAGTTGGTGGAATGACCAATCTAGATTTGCTGCCAATGATAATAACACCTGGATTGAATTAAGTTTTGCAAGCAGAGCAAATGTCTCCTCATAGTCAATACCATAAGATTGAGTAAATCCTTTTGTAATAAGGAAAGCTTTGAATCTACTAATACTTTCATCTGCATTGTGCTTGACAGTAAAAATTTATTTGCACTCAATTGGATTTTTTTCTTTGGGTAGTTTTAAAACTCTCATGTTTTGTTCCTTTCTAGGGCCTTAATTTCTTCTAAAACAACCATCTTCCATTTTAGTTGCATAGGTGTTTCATGAATATTATTGAGAATCTATATATTGTTTAGTATGGTAACAAAAGCCCTATAATTGGGTGATAAATCTTCATAAGATACCACATTACAATTTGAGTGTTGAGTACGTGATCTAACATTATTCTTTAGAGCAATCAGTTGATTAAGGTCATCAAAAGATTCAATTGAATAAGATTCAATAAGAGTATTACCTGTGTTGGTTTCAAGTATCTTTGAAATTTGTTCAGATTCTTGGTTTTGCTTTGAAAGTTTACATTCTTATATATCCTTCTGAGTTTTTTTGTCTTCTTGAATAGACAATCAATTCCTTATTTGTTTTCCCTTGAGTAAACTTCGGGCTTAGAGGATCTGGTTGGATGTTTTGGACTTGAAAGGAAGTTGGAGGATCTTGCTTAATGTTTTGGATGTGAAAGGAAGTTTGAAAAGTTTTTGGTGGTTTGATAATAGGATCTTCCTAAAGCTGATATTCACGTGTGATTGAATTCTCACCATGAATGGCAATTTTAGGAAAGTAAGGTTGATTTTCAAAAAAAATTAACCTTCATGGAATGGTAGAATTTCTTTGTTACTGGTGAGTAATACTTGTATTTTTTTTATTTGGGGCGTATTCAAGAAATAATCATTTGATGGATTTGGTATCTAATTTGCTTTGGTTTTGTTGGCTGGTAAGAATAAATGCAGTGTATCAAACACTTTAATTGGAATAGACAAGATGATTCGAAGGTGAGGATAGAAACTGAGCAAGGATTGGTAAGGGTTTTGAAATTTCAGGACTCGAAACAACATTCTGTTTATAAGATATGTAGCAGTAAGAATATTCTCACCCCAAAAATGTTTAGGTACAAAGGCAGCCATCATGGGGGATCTTACAATTTCCAACAAATGTCAATTGTTTCTTTCAACAATGCCATTCTGTTGAAAAATGTTGACATATGAACTTTGATGAATTATACCATGCTTCATTAGATATGATCCAAGAATTGAATTGTAGTATTCTCTTTCATTATCGGTTTTTAACACTTAAATTTTGGTTTTGAATTGAGTTTGGATCATATTGTTGAAGTTTTGGAATAGTTGGCCCACTTCTGGTTTTTCTTTCATAAGGAATACCCAAGTAATCCTGGTGTGATCATCAATAAATATGATAAACCATCGAGAGCCAATAATGTTATTTACTCTGAAGGGACCCAAAATGTCACTATGTATCATTAAAAAATGATGGAATGGTTTGTAAGATTGATTAGGATATGTGATACAAATATGTTTAGAAGTAAACGAAATTCTAATGTACCTTTTCTTTTTATAACTATTTATAAATGAGATTATTATTATTATTATTTTTACATAAGTTTTGGAAAAGTTAAATTTTTTGATAAGTTTATAATTTTTTGAAAATTTATTTTCAAAAAATTATATGATTTTTTAAAAATTTATTTTTGAAAAATTATAAAATCTTAGAAAGTGAATAATTAAAAAATTTTATTTATAAAAAATGTTGAAAAAAAATTAAGATGTGTAGAGAAAAAATAAGGATGCATCTAAAAGGATGCATCTAACAGTCTCAATTTAATATTGACCTATAATATGATAAAGAATTTGGTCTCAATATTTTTTTTTAATTTTTGTTTCATATATTTCGTGAATAAATAAGCTATTTCAGTCAATGAAACATTTGGTTTAGTTTTAAATTTTAAAATTTACGTTTTATAATATGTGAATTTAATTTAATTTTAAGTTAGATTTATTTAATTATATTTTTATTTATTATTTGATTTAGTGGTTTTTTATATATAGATGTGATAATTAATTATAACATGAATTATAATTTCTCTAATATTTATAATTTCATAAAAAAAATAAACTACTCCAAGGCAAGGCACGAACTTGCGTTTCCTGCTTAAATTATAAATGGGCTTTCATTAACAATGTTAAAATGTTATTATTCTATATTTATTAAATTTTGAGGTTTTTTTCTCATATTTAAGTTGAGATTTTTTTATTTATTGATAATTAATTTTAAATTGAATATTTAATATGACATCAAAACATAAGTTTTGTTTTATAATTCATCTTTATAATTTTTTTAAATTTAACAAATAATATATATATATATATGTGATGTAAATCTATTAAAATGATATAGTTTGATATATTTTAAGTCTTAAATTTAATGTGATTTTTATATTTAAAGGGAGCTTTTTTATCTATTATCATTCATTTTAAGTTGTTTGCTCGACAAATAAAAAATAAATTTCAGAGTCAAAAATAGAAATCTCAAAGCAACTTCGTTGACTTGGGGCTAAAGTCTTTCTTCCACCATGTCTTCCCTTATTATATTACGAGTCTGCGTTACACCTTTATCTGCTTCCATTTCTCTCTTGTATCATTTCTACGTCACCTTTAAATAATAAAGAATTATAAAATTTTTTTAATAAAATATATTATAATTAAAGGTTATAATCCAAATCAAATCATATTAAATTTTGTGACAAACATTGAATTTAAACTAAATTAATGATAGTGGAGTGTTTTGACATATTTATACTTTAATATATCAACTTAATTTAAGAATTTTTTTTATTACTTAATTATATTTCATACGCCTAACATGAAAAAGGAGAAAATTAAAAGAGGTTGAATTTGTTTTGATATCATATTAAATTTAAGTTAAAATGTTGATTTTAATTCAATTAAAATTTTAATTATTCATCAAATTTTATCGATGTAAGTGTTATTTATTTTTTAAAATTAGGAAGAAAATGGTTTTATACTCAACTCTTTTAGATTATAACTGAATTTACAATTGAATCAAATGGTTGCATTCAAATTTAATCATAATTATATATTTATAATAATGTACAAAACATTAATGCCATTTTCATCTCATTATTAGCCAAGTTACTAAGCAAGTCCACATAGTTTTTCATTCCCATGCCTCTCATTTAAAATAAAATAAAAAACTATTAATTATAGCAATGCATCTCATTCTTTGACTGAAAATGACGTTATTTATTTTTCTTTTTTAATAATTGAAAATGACGTTATTTATTAGAAACAACACATGGATTTTCACTAAAGAGATATAGTTTAAGATTTTATTGTAAAAATTTGGAGTTTGAAATTTTAAATTATGTAAAGTAGGAATTATGTGATAATATAGCCCAATATCTCAATTAATAAATAGATAGACTTGTTTATTTATTTATATATTTTTTATTTTTAATTCTGATACTTTTCAAAAGAATATGAGTTTGTTACTTTTAAATTTGTTACTTTCACAAAATTTATGCGTTTGTTGGGAAGGTACATTTAGGATGTAAGACTAATCGAATTTAAATATTTTTAAATTTAATTCTGATTTTGATAATTAAATTAATATATTATCAAAGTTTGATTTTTATTTGAAAATTTATATTTAAAAAATTTGATTTGATTTTGATTAAATTTTATTTCATGCATAAATTAAATTTTTAATTCAATTGAATTGCTTGAATTTAGTTTAATTGATTTAATAAAATTATAAATATTGATATTAAATATTATTTATTTATATTTTAAAAAATTTAATTTAATTCTTAAATATCCAAAATTATTTCAGATATTGAATTATTTGAATTTAGTTTTAATTTCACTCATTATTTGAGTAATCTTCAAATTTGACTAAAAAAAATTAATTAATTAAATTTAAATTTTTTAAAATTTTATTAATAATTAAATATTGTATTTATATAATCAATTAGTACGTCACTAAATAACAATTATTAATTAATATAATTTAATTAAATAATTTTAAAATGGAATTTCCAGAATAACTTGACTCGTTGTTATCTAAGTATATTGCTCAATCACTAGAATACTATTTGGCTTAAAGTTTAGAGCCATAATTTCATCCACTCAATTTTTAGTTAAAAAAAAAACAAAACAAAAGAATTGCTGGAAAAATTAATAAAAAATTACTGCAAATTAACCGGAAAACACAAAATGGAAAAAAAGAAAATCATATATCTCTATTTTTCTCGTCATCCGCTCTCGCATAACAGCGCCACTGCCGCCGCCGGCGTCGCCGAAGCCTTTGTCACCTTCACTGACCCTACTGCCGATGGTGCATTCTCCCTTTTCTCGTTCCTTTCTTTCCCACGGCCCACACCTTCCTCTGATTTGGGTCTGATAAAGTTGTTAGGTATAACTGCGGCATTGGATTTTTTTGGTTAAGAGTTGGATGCTTAATTACTGTGTTTTTTACATAGTTTTTATGAATGCAAAATTTGTGTATATTTTTCTGGGAAATCCTTGAAAGTGGCAATTTTAGCCTAAATCCTGGCAATTTCAGCATTGCGATGCCCCGGATAGTCACTTGCTGCAGTGGTAAGACAAGCTTTCTTCTCCACCATTTAAACAACATTTTCTTTATCTCATTTATTTTTTGGTTTTGTTTACAAATTTTGATCCCTATCTCCTTGAATTTCTTTTACACTAATAATTATTAATTTATTTTGTTTTGTTTTTTAGTTAGATGATTATTTTTCTTGTTAAGCAGCAAGGTTTTGGCTTTGTCCCCTACATTTTTCTTCGAGCCTTTATATATGTCGAATCCAATGAATTCTTGAGAAATTAATTCTTTGCAACCAGGACATATGGCATTGGCCATGGTGGCAGCCAAATAGAATAGTAACTCTTACTTCTTCCTTATCATAAATACGGGTTTAATTTGATTTTTTTTAATCATAATTTTTTAAGTTTGACTTTAATTATTTCATTGTTTAGTTGAATTATATTTTGAAAAATATGTATTAGAACATTATTTTATTCCAGTTTTGAAAAAATAATGATGTTCAAAAAACCTTAATTAATACTAATTATGGGATAATGGGATGGAGAGAGTAAAGAAATATATAAAATTTTGTTAAGTGTTTTCTTTTTGGTTAAAAGAATTTGTTCCAGTTGCAACCTTGAATTTTGAGACACTCATCCTAGCTCAAGCTTGTCCCCTAACTTTGACTTTTTTTATTCTTTTTATATATAACATGGCTAGTTGAATTCTGGCTATAGATGAAAAATGCATTGCTGATTGATGCTCAAAGCACTTTCAAAAACTTCAAAGTTTGTTGCTGTTTTCTTCTTCCTTTTGCGGGTTTGGTTTTCTTTTCTGTTGATGCTACAATATTTGCATTCTTCAACTTTTCACCAGAAGTCCACAAACTTTCTTTTTAATTCTCATTTCTTTATCATCAAATTGATTAATTCTACACTTTCTCATTTGCTCTCTAATTGCTAAAAGAGGATGACAAACTAGTGAAAAACCATTCCAATTTTTCATCATTTCGTTTATTTGATTTAAGTCATTTGGTGTCTTGCATGCTTGGTTGCTGTTTTTCATTAATATTGTCATTTTCTTTTGAGTCTGCTTTCCTTGTTGTTTCCCGCTGAAAAAAAAATCTGAAAAAAATGGAAACTATTGCTACTGGCGCTGCTAGCAACCTTGTTGCTGTAGTTGTCAATTACATATTCTCTCAAATTAAACGTCCTATAGGTTACATATTCCTCCATAAGAGAAGGGTTGAGGATTTCGAGAAAAAAGTTGAGATGTTGACAGAAAGACGGGAGAGAGTGCAGAATGCCGTTGATGTTGCTGAAAGGAACATGGAGATAATAGAAAAGGATGTCCAAAATTGGCTGATTAGAGTGGACAGGATGATCAGTGAAGAAGTGAAGGATCTTGAAGAGAAAATGAAGAACAAGTGTTGCATTGGGTTGTGTCCCAATATCAAGTCTCGTTACCAGCTTAGCAAGAAAGCAGGAGAAGATGCCCAAGCTGTTGATGAGTTCCTCCAACAAGGTGAATTTAACAGGGTATTGTGCCCTGCTGCTCTCCCAGACATAGTGCCCACCTCTGCCAAAGATTTTGAGGACTATGATTCAAGAAAAAAAGTTTTTGATGAGATCATGGAGGCTTTGAAAGATGCCAGTATCAGCGTGTTAAGGGTGTACGGGATGGGTGGTGTTGGCAAGACCACACTAGTCAAAGAAGTCGCAAGACAAGTCAAGGAGGATAAGTTATTTGATTCAGTGGTTATGGCAGCTGTAGCTCAGACTCCTGACATTCAGAAAATTCAAAACCAAATTGCAGACATAATGGGATTGAAGTTTGATGAGCTGTGTATAACCGGAAGAGCATGTCGGTTATGTGAACGGTTGAAGAAAGAGAAGACGATTCTTGTTGTTTTAGATGATATTTGGGCGAGACTAGATCTAGAGGAAGTCAGAATTCCTCTTGGAGATCAACCGAAGGGATGCAAGATACTACTGACGTCAAGAGATCAAGATGTTCTATCTAATGGGATTGATGCTAAGAAAACTTTTGTAATCCGTGTTTTGGAAGAAAGTGAAGCTTGGGTCCTTCTTAAAAAGATGGCTGGGGACAGTGTAGAGAGTCTTGAGTTGCGATCTACAGCAGCTAAAGTAGCAAAAAAATGTGGTGGATTACCGGTTGCCATTACAACAGTTGCAAGGTCTTTAAGAAACAAAGGTTTATTTGTATCGAATGATGCTCCGAGGAAACTACAGAGACCTTCCCCAACAAACTTCACAGGGATACCAGCTCATCTATATTCAGCTATAGAGTTGAGTTACAATCATTTAGAAAATGAGGAACTGAAACATACTTTCTTGCTTTGCAGTCTACTCGGTCACCATGTTGCCATTCAAGACTTGTTGAACTTTGAAGAAATCTCTAAAATAAAATTATTTTATTATTTTATATTTTTTTTATTGCAATGTTAGAATTGCATGAAAATATATATGCTAAAAACTAGGTATCATTAACCTTAAAATCTAAGATTTTCATGCATTAAAATAGTTAATCAAATGAGTAATTTATAATAAGAAAATATCTAATAGATTTTATGTAATTATCTAAATCACTTTTTATTCTAAAAATAAGAAACTTAATTAAAATAGATAAAGTCTACTAATCAAGTAATAATGAAGATCTAGATTTACACAAAATTTACCATGGGTTTGGGATTATGTGATGGTGTTGTGTTGGCACAGTAGAAGAAGCACGAGAAAGACTTTTGTCATTGGTGTGCAACCTCGAGACTTCCTGTCTATTACTTGATAGTTTCACCTCTGATCGCTTTGATATGCATGACCTTATTTCTGATGTTGCCTTGGCAATCACTTCTAGGAACAACCAGGTGCTTGTGTTAAAAAGTGAGGATGTTCTAAATGATTGGCCTGATGAAGATACAATGAGAATGTGCAAAAGGATTAGTTTGTGTTATGCTAGTATTAATGAGCTTCCTGATGAGTTGAAATGTCCTCAACTTGCTTTCTTCCATATGGGTAGCAAGGATGCTTCTCTAACAATACCAGCTAACTTTTTTTAGGAAACGAAAGATAATTAAAAGTGACTGAAATGCATCTTCCCTCCTTCCCTTCATCAATGTGTCTCCTAACAAACCTTCGTACGCTACGCCTAGACTTGTGTCCTAGGAGATATAGCCATTATAGGCGATCTCAATGATTTAAAAGTTCTTAGCCTCATGGGATCTAATATTGATATACTACCCAGGGAATTTGCACGGTTGACTCAGCTAAGGTAGTTAGAAATGCATGATTGCACCAAACTCAAAGTAATCCCACCAAATGTCTTATCAAGTTCGTCCAGATTAGAAGAATTATACGTGGGTAAGTGTAGACACCCGCACCCAACCTGCGAGGTATTGTCCGCTTTGACTCGAATGTCTTACGGTTTTGTCCCACAAAAAGGACCTCATAAATTTGGGATTAAGTCTCTACATATATATCATTCTTTATCCACACATCCTCCTGATGTGGGATTGAGGGCGTTACAATCTCCCCACCTTTTAATGCATGACGTCCCTGTCAAGCCGAGTCCATCTACAGAACCAAGATCATACCAGACCACCGTGTAGCATTTAGTGACTCCCACGGCTCCACCATGTAGCACTTAATGACTCCCATGACTCCACCGTGTAGCACTTAATGACTCCCATGACTGCGGACTGGTGACCGCTCTGATACCATTTGTAGAGACCCGCACCCAACTTGCGAGGTATTGTCCGCTTTGACCCGAAGATCTCACGATTTTGTCCCACAAAAGGCGCCTCACAAGTTTGGGATTAAATATCTACATATATATCATTCTTTATCCACACATCCTCCTGATGTGGGATTGGAGGCGTTACAGTAAGAGTCTTGTCCAATGGGAAGCAGAGGGACATGCCGATCAACGGAGCAATGCTAGTCTTGCAGAATTGAAGCCTTTGTCTCGTTGGAAAGATACAACATTTTTTTTAGGAGAGAAGTGTAATTGGGTTGATAGGAATGAATATTTGAGAACACTGAACCTCAAGCTAGATACAGGCATTGATGATTTGGATCATGGAACTCAAATGTTGTTAAATAAAACTAAAGATTTATACCTAAATGATTTGAAAGGTGTCAGGCTTGGGCTAAATGCGCTAGAAGATGGGGAAGGTCTTCCACATTTGAAAAAACTCCATATCCAAAACGGTTTGGAGATTCAATATATCATTAATGACAATGATGCGGTTGATAAAGTTCAGTTTCTTCAACTACGGTCTTTGACACTTCAGGCTCTACCACAACTTATTAGCTTTTGCTTTGGAAACAGAGAGTGTTTACTTCCATATGGCCACTGGAATTGCCACTTTTCAATGAAAAGGTATTTATTTATCCTTTTTAATTTAATGGCATTTGTTGGTCTTATTTCTGACATCCTTTAGATTTCATTATCTCAAAGGATGTTCTCAAATATTAAATTCATATCCCAGATTTTTTTTTTTTTTTTTGCTAAGTGCCCATTATTTTGTTATGGACCCAAGATCTAAACTGGAGAATAATTTGCTTGGCTTGTAACATTACTCAACTAGGTTTTCCCTAATCCCTTTTGAAAATTGTGTTTTGTAGGCATCCTTTTGGTATATTTCTATGTAAGAGTTTAGCTTAAGTGGTAAGATGTGTAAGGGTTTTACTACAGATCTTATGTACAAGAATTTGTTCTCTAGTCTAGTTTTAAATAGGTTAATAAGACAAGATTAAACATTTTTCTAATGTAGTAAATTAAAGCTCCTTTTGGTTAATACATTTGCTATTTGCCTTTTTTTTCTTTTCTGTTTTTATTTTTTACCTTTTGCTTTCTATTCATTTTTTGCAAATAGAAAAAAAAAAAAAAAGCAAAAGCAAAAAGCAACTAGCAGTTAGCGAAGGCATCAATCAAATAGAGCTTAACTTAAAAGTTTGCGACAATAAGAATTGAATTGGTAACAAATTTATGATATTGTAGTAGGAAAAAAAACTCATTTGTAGTTTAATCTAGCTGTTCAAGAAGAAAGCTGAAAATTAGGGGATCCAACTGAATTTGGTTGATAGTCATTTTCTCTCTTGCCTCTATTTTTTTTCCCCTTTTTTCTTTTTAATCAGATAATCATTTTCTCTAATTTGCTATTTGATGTGTAAAGAAAACAAGAGCGAGAAATTTTTAGAGAGAATGTTGGAAACATTTTGTTTACTATCCATTTGTATGATTTTGAAGTGGAGATCTGAATCTGGATCCTCTATAGTTTAGGTGTCACCTAAGGGGTCCAGTTTTTATTTTTGAGATTGTTTTTAACCAACCAAGTGGAAAGGAAAGAAAGAGGTACAAATGATGTTGAGATTTAGAGCAATCTCATCTAAAAACCAATGATTGTCTAATACTAACTCATCATAACTCAACTATTATTTAAGGCACTGAATTGGTTATCTTGGGAGTGGATAATGGCATGGCACTTGCATTGCAAGCATCATTCCTTCTTTTTCATCATAGTTTGTTATGTAATTATATATATGTGCTGAAAGAAGTGTTTCTATTCTTTTTTGTTAGTTTATTTTTATTTCAGTAGTTAAACATAAAAGGGTAAGATTTTTACAGAATTACTTGTGTGTAGATGGTGTTCCCATGCATGGAGAACCTGTGATTGTCCTCGATTAGCACTGAACGGATATGGCACAATCAGCTTTCTGAAATATCTTATTGCATTCAAAATCTGACACGCTTGATCATTGAAGGTTGTGGCAATTTAAAACACCTATTATCCTTTTATATGGCTAGACGTCTAAAGCACCTCAAATTCTTTGAGATAATTGAATGCAAGTGCCTAAGAGAGATAATATTCACAGAGGACATGGACGAAGAAACAAGTCTATGATTTTATTTCCTCAATTGAACTCTCTAAAAATAAAGAATATGCAACATCTTATCGGGTTTTGCTCAGATAATCATAGTATTAAATTCCCATCATTGAAGCTATTGGAGATAGAGCACTCTCCTAAATTGAAGGGATTCATACACAAATCTACCTTGGAGGACAACCAAAATTTCTCTATGCAAGCTCTCTTTGATGAAAAGGTAGATAACTGTCAATGTTCCTTTTTCTATTTATGTTCCCTTTGTCTTGATTTGGGCCTTGATTGTAGGAATTATAACTCTTATTATCTTTTCACTCATTAATGGCATGTATTGCACACAGGTTGCATTTCCTAGTTTGAAGAAAATTAATGATGATTTCCTATTTAAGAAACATGAAGATGATATGGCACAACCAACTATTTGCAAATTCCTTTTGCAAACTGGAAGAAATGAGAGTTGAACACTGTAATGAGTTGCTGACCATTTTTCCATCTAACATGTTGGGAACATTCCAACAACCGCAAACTCTGAAAATATCCAGTTGTGGTTCACTAGAAGAAGTATTTGAACTTCAAAGGTTGAATATGGAAGAAATACATGTTATAGCCACTCAACTGAGAGAATTGAATATTGTTCATCTACCAAAATTGAAGCATATTTGGAACAAGGATCCCCATGGAATTTTAACCTTTCAAAATCTATGCATCGTATATGTTTGGGATTGTTGGAGTCTCAAGAATATGTTTCCACCCTCAGTAGCTAGAGTTCTTCCAATACTTAAAGATCTTAAAATATATAGCTGCAGGGTGGAGGAGATTGCTTCGAAGGAGGAAGGATTGGAAGTGGCTGTTACTTTTGTTGCGCCTGAAGCAATAATCACAACAATACAGAAGCAATAGACAACAATCAATAATCAAATGCGCAGAAAAATAAAGCACACCAAGATTTACGTGGAAAACCCTCCAGTGTAGAGGGAAAAAAACCACGGGCCGCCAGAAAAATCTTCACTATCAAATAATAGTTATACAAAGTTCTTCTCTAGCTAAAACTAGAGCTAATCAACAACTAGAGAAACAATTGGAGAAATCTCACCAAATAAGTGACTCAACAAATACACCCTGGATTTGTTCCTAGAGAGCTTCAAACCCGATCTTCACCGTTCAGAATGTAAAAACTCTGAATCATAAACCTCCTGACAAGGTTCCAACTCAATCGGACCACGGATCGACTTCCGTTCAACCAACTCTCCCTTCTCCTTTTTCTCTCTCTGCTTTTCCTGGCTTTTCTTCTTTCTCTGCTTGGTTGTCGACACACACAAAAACAACCCCACCTCTTTTTTATTAAGTAGCTAGGGCTCTGTGTAAAATAAAAGATCAAGGCCCATGGCCTTTACTTGGTCCAAAACCACTTACATGGGACTGGACCCCATTTTCCTAACAATCTCCCCCTCCAGTCCCATTAGAAGGAGATTCATCACCATAGCAATTTCATTTGGAACTTACCTTGGCCAGGGAACTCATTCCGGCCAAGTTACTGCAAAGCTCAAGCTTTTCCCTGGGAAGTATCTTAGTCAACATATCTGCCACATTTTTATCAGTATGGACTTTCTTCAATAGCATCTGCTGTTCTTCAATCACTGAACGTAACCAATGATATCTAACATCAATGTGCTTTGTTCTAGCATGGTACATGGTATTCTTACTCAAATCTAAAGCACTCTGGCTATCACAAAATACCACATACTCTTTCTGATTCAACCCCAATTCAAGAAGAAAACGTTTCATCCAAAGCATTTCTTTACATGCTTCAGTTGCTGCAATATACTCAGCCTCTGTAGTTGACAAAGCAACACACTTCTGCAACTTAGACTGCCAAGATACAGCTCCTCCTGCAAAAGTGAACAAATACCCTGAAGTAGATTTCCTACCATCAAGATCGCCTGCCATGTCAGCATCAGTAAACCCTTCTAGAACTGGTTGTGAAACTCCATAAGTCAAGCACATTTTTGAGGTACCCCTCAAATATCTAAAAATCCATTTCACTGCTTCCCAGTGAACCTTCCTCGGATTAGAAAGAAATCTGCTCACTACACCAACTGCATGAGCAATGTCAGGCCTTGTACAAACCATAAGATACATTAAAGAACCGACTGCAGAAGAATAAGGAATACTAGACATAGCTAGTTGCTCTTCCTTAGACACTGGACAAGATTTCTTACTTAGATGAAAATGGTTGGCAAGTGAACTGCTAACTGATTTAGCATGTTGCATGTTGAATCTACCAAGCACTCGTTCAACATACTTTTCCTGTGACAACCACAGCTTTCCAGCTCTCCTATCTCGGATAATGTCCATACCAAGAATCTGCTTTGCTGGACCTAAATCCTTC